TTTGGCCTCACGGCCGGAGATAAGCTTCAGCACGGGAGTCCTTTCGTCGCATGACTAAACTCTACCGGACATGTATCGCATGAGCCAACACGACACCAAGTTAATTTCGCTCGCTCCACGATCAAAATTTACTTGGTGGGGGGCATTTGTTTGATGGCATTTTTGCAGCGGCTAGAACGATGAACCTGATAGCCATGATCATTAGGTATATGTGAGGCCAGCTAGCTCTCCATTTCATGTGTGCATGCGCCATGCAAATATTGAAATACACACTGTGCCCAATCTATACTTGTCAATTAGTATATATATGCGTGTGTATACTGAATCAAGAGCAAGCTAGCTATATCAGTCGGCCGGTGAAGCAACTACGTACATGCATGCATGCATGCATGGCAGTACACAAATATATGGTGTTTGATTAAGGGTGAGGTGATTAATGGGCTTAATTAAGAAATTTAATGCGCCTGCCCCTGGGCTTAGCTCATATCAGTGAATGACACAATCGCGGCGTATTATACATATCCGCAGTTTTGATTTATCGGCTAGATGAGTTTACTTATCGATCAAATTAGAGAGATAAGCTGGGGTTTCAATTTATCTGAACGACTTCTGCTCACGCGTGCGGAAGAGATAAAACCAGATGAATTAAGAGATAACCAACAAACCAATTGATTTTATCTCTATAACAAACTGATCGATCAAGCCTTATCTGCAACGAACTTGACGCGGAGGAAACGGCGCGGACGCGGCCAGCACCGACCTCAGACCCCTATATAAGGCGTCGACCCCTCGGCAGCCAGGGGCATTCACGAACTCATCCACACATTCATTCACCAACGCATCTAGCATCCACAAGCCACCCATCATCAACACATCTACCCATCCAGCATCAACACATCCATCCATCAACTCTCATCGGCGATCCATCCATCGACGACACGCACCGGCGGCGGCGAGCGACTTCGGCCGGAGTCCCGGCGTCCGGCAGGAGAGGGCGCGCGCGGTGATCCGATCATCAGCAAGCGCAGGAGAGGAGCTTGATGGCTAGTCAAGGTAAAAGCTAGCAAGATTGTTTCATTTTCTTTCATCTACAGCACGCACACATCCATGCATGGGGATCCATCTGCACGTATCGTCGTCGCCGGGGAAGTCGCGGTGGCCGATTCATCTACGCGTCACAGAAGCCTCATCGATGCCGGCGTCTGTTCAAGCCGACGCAGTGCTACTTGTCCCTGGACTCGACGCTGCTAATTCAAGCCGCTGGTGATGCATCTACCCGAAGCTGCGACCTCGCCGAGATACCGGACGTCCTTGATTTGCAAGCTTCACCGCATTCGACGGGCTAACCATGGAGGAGGTCGTCGGGAAGCCGCTCTGCCAGAGCGCGCCGAGGATCGCCGGAGCTGTCGCCGACTGCCAAGACTTCTATCCGTTCCCATGCCGGAGGTCAAGCATCACGCATGGCGTCGAAACCAGCGGATGACGATGGAGGCAGTACAGAGGAAGGACGGCGGGAGGACGGCAAGCCAGTGCTGTTGGATGGCAACAAGCTGGCTAATGCATGTTGATTAAGTTAATTATTGTGGCAACATGGCCAACCAATTGGAGGACGACATGTCATCGCTGCTACAGTGCCATGCACAAACCAATGCGTGGGCTGAAGAAGTCCTGTTGGTTTTTCTTATTTGTCCCAAATGAGATGCCGAGCTTTGATTAAATCCGGTTGCCGTCTACGTCAACCATCTTCAATAATTTCTCCCTGATTCTTCTCTAATTGAATCTCGACGCAACTGCTGTGACGTCGGGTCGTTCAAGCTACGCAACTCCATGCATGTCTTCACCAACAATCTACATCGACACGTTGTTCAAGACCGAGGCTAGACGACGGAGGGCGGGTGAAGCCGATGCGAAGGCTACGCTACCAACACCGGCGCACGGACCGACGAGGCTATGGATCGCTGCCGGCACTCACACACACACACATCTACATCACCATCACAACCATGCATGGAGAACGCGAAATGAAGACGACGAGACGACCACAAGCAGCTTAATCGGAGGTTCTCTTGCAGGCCTAGACCTGCGGAGGTAATTAACTGGGAGCTTCTCGAGGCCCCAGGAACCAGGAGACCACATCGCACAAGTCAGATCTGTCCAATGACAATGGAGCGCAAATACATATATATTACATTGGGAATTTGTATTTATGATCTTTTAAGATTAATAAAGAGCATGTTCCCTATGTTTTGTTTACATTGTGTATTTAGGTACACTGGCACGCCCGCACATATATGTATCTCTAAACATAGAGATCTCAGATGTTATTTTCCACCCTAAACAATAACGCTATTGGTTTTTTATCGACATTTGACCAATCGTCTTATTCAATTTTTTTGCAAATATAAAAATATTGTATTCATGCTTAAAGAATATTTATGATAAATCAAGTCTCAATTAAATAAATGATATTTATATATATTTTTAAATAAGATAAATAGTCAAACGTATCTAAAAAAATCAACAGCACCATATATTAAAACGGACGGAATACGATATAATATATTCTAATAGTATGAATTTGGACATATTCTAGTGACTCATAGTATTAAAATATGTCACATTTTATCTAATTAACTTATTTTGGAATGGAAGAGAATATTTATGGTTAAACTAGTACTAGGTCTGCGTTTATACTGGAGTTTTGGGGAAAACTAACTAGAGTAATTAATACTAGTTCTAGCGGTATATCAGACCAGGTAGAATCGTGTCACCCATATGAAGACCTAGTGTAAAGATGATGATATCAATATCAACACAACGTCGAATGAATATATATGTTTTATCGTCATTTTTCAAACTATATTTATAACAAATATTAAATCCCTGAATTACATGAAAAAATAGTTTTATAAAATTAATCTACTAATATAAATTTTGCATTTTAAATCTTGAAAGTTTTACATATATTAATGATTTAAGCTTTTGAAGTTCGGCTGCACGTATTTTAAAACATCATCGTTCTCACCATAGAGGTAGGGTTACGTGCATCCATAGTTAATATATAAGTTTTTTTTCGTATCTTAAAAAAGACAAATTTTACTATAGGACATCTAAAATTTATATAATTTGCTAGCAGACATCACATTTTATTGTAGCTGGAGAATACCCTAGTAAACTGGTAAACATTTTCGGACCAATTGAAAAGAGATTCTTGGAAAATACAAGAATGCCCCTAGGGCCACAAGCTTCCCTAGGGCCACAAGCTTCTAACTTAGCATTGAAGTGAAAATTTTGAAATTATGCAACTCTCAATCTGCCACTACCCCAAATATATTGCTAGTATACATTATATTTCATCTTTTTTCGAATAGATGGCGGGAGAACTACCACTTTTGATTGATAAAGAAGGAGGTAAAGAGTTTGTGATTATTTGCAGGCAAAAGTGAGTGAAAAAAACACACAAGACCTACTCACATCATATTTCATCTTCATTTCAGCGTCAACTTAGAAGCTTGTAGCCCTAGGGCATTCTCGTCTTTTAAAAAAATTCTCTCTAATTAGCTTGGAATTGTTCTTCATAAATTATCAGTTTTTCGAGGTGTCCTCAAGCTTTAGCAAGTTTTTACAATGTTTACCAAAAAATTACATAAAGTTGCGTATCCTATAAAAATTTGCCACGGTAGTCGGCTTGTGCATATTTATACCCTGCAATTAATTTGTTGTGACCATATTTCATTGTACTAAATAAATTTTGTAAAATTATAATGGTATGGTTCCAATTTTCCCAATAAAAATAACTGGATTGGTGAGTTGCAAATAACTGGTCCGGAGAGTTGTGTGGCCCATCCGCCCATGCATGACTGACGCGGTTGTTGTCACGACGACTCCGGCTAGTCCACCACCCGTCAGTGCTACGCTGTTAGTGTTAGAGCAAGTATAATAGTAAGCTATAAATCTACCTATATAGAAATTTATATGGAGGTGAGAGATAGAAAAATTTTAAGGGGATTGGCTCTCATGTAAGAGCTAGCTTAACATAATCTCCAAGACAATACATTAAATGCATAAGTGAGAGATAGAGAGGTGAAGAAGGGGTGAAGCTTCGAACCCAAATAATCTAGCCCACTACCTTGTGGAGCTAACCAGAAAACCCTGGGCGTTTCTCTAGGGAGAAAATTAAAAAAAGGCAGTAAATTCCGGGCCTGCTAGTACTGCCATTGGTGTATATATACACAGTACACAAGACACACCAGGTTTCACCCCTCGAAGCTAGTTCTCCTATAAACCACTCCTAGTTGATCGGCGATTACATGTCGTCCCCAATTGCAATTGGTCATCATGAGCCACCGCCATTGCTAGTACTATACCTGTTGATCCATCTCCTGTTAGGCTTCCAACAGCTCTGCTACTCCCTTGGCACGCACAGCAATAACCGGATTACTGCTGCCATGCCGGTCCCGTGCTTGCCGGACCAGTCGGCGGCGCTGCTCCGGTTGAAGCGCTCCTTCACCATCACAAACGACTCCCAGTGCACCCTCGCGTCGTGGCGGGCCGGCACGGACTGCTGCCGCTGGGAGGGCGTCCGCTGCGGCGGCGCCAACGGCGACGGCCGCGTGAGAAGCCTCGATCTGGCAAGGTGTTTCTTGGAGAGTGCAGCAATTGACCCTGCACTTTTCGATCTAACTTCACTCAGGTATCTTAACCTCGCACGTAATGACTTCAATGGCTCGGAGCTCCCAGCTACTGGGTTTGAGCCAGGGGCGGGCCCACTATGTATTCATGGGTATTCAGATGTATACCCAAGATTTTTGAGAAAAAATAGGTATATATACTATATAGTTCATATAGGTATTAAAAAAATAAAAAGAAAGCTTAAACTGTTTATATTGGGCCTTGTTTTCCCATTTCTTCTCTATTGGGCCTAAATTTCCACTCCCCTCCCTCTTTCCTCTCAACCTGTGGTCTAATTGGGCCACATATCAACCCATTCGCAATTTTCCCCCAATTCCCCACCCGCCTGGCGCCCTGGCCACCCAAACCTGCAAACCCTAGACCACACACAGCACGGCCACAGGAGGAGGCGTGCGGCGGGGGCTGCGTGCGGCGGCTGGCGGCGGGAGCCGTGGAGGCGTCTGGCGTGGTCGCGTGGAGCGGCGCGGCGGCGGCCGGCGGGAGCCATGGAGGCGTGGAGCACTGGAGCAGCGTGCGGCGCGGCCGCGGTATGCAGCGGCGCGGGCGCACCGTGACCGACGGCGTGCCGCGTGCGGCAGCCGGCGCGGCAGGGGCCCAGGAGGCAGCCAGGCAGGAGGCTGCTCCTGGCTGTCAGCCGAGCAGGTGCTGCACAGCTGCAGCCTGCAGGTCGGCGTCCGCCGTTCCGCGCCGGCGCGCCGAGGCCCAAGGCAGCCGGCGGCTGCGCGCTGCGGCCGTGCGGCACCCTGCTTGCCGGCGGCTGCTTGCCCTGCCCTGCCCTGCAAATTCCGGACAAGCACAGTGAGTGACTAAACTCCGGACAACGGGACAAGCACAAAAATTCATTGATTTAGACATTTAGTATTTTAGTGTAGTTACTTGCTTGCTTATTTGCTTGATTTAGACATTTAGTTTGTAGGATTGTAGAACTATCTAGCAGAACTAATTTGAAAAGTCTAGCAGAACTATCTATGATGCTTATCAAAACAGAGAGGGTTCGTCGGTATGAACTTGTTTATAGACTTCTCAAATTGGTTCTAGTTCTTCCTGTTGCAACTACTGGTGTTGACAGGGTCTTTTCTTCAATGAACCACATCAAAAACAAGCTGAGAAACAAGATGGGGCACAAATATTTGAATAAATGTTTGGTTACATTCATTGAAAGAGAATTCTTTTTGCAAGCTAAGGACAAGGACATCATCGATTATTTCCAAAATATCAAGCGTCGAAAAGTTAATATCTAAATTGTAAGTTTTCTTCCTAACTTATTATTTTCTATCATTTTTGTATTCCATATTTTGACACATTGATACGTTTGGTATTAGTATTTCTATAAGTTAAACAATTTCTAGTGATGATCAATTCTATCACTGTGTGAACTAATGATCAATTTTATGTTCTATATATACGCTATAAATTATAATTATTAGTGTATCATAATATACAAGCCCATTTTTTGGCTTTTAGGTGTATGAACATTTTTTTTACCCCTTCCTATTTCGAATACCCAAGTTTAAAAAGCTGGGCCCGCCACTGGTTTGAGCGCCTCAAGCATCTCACCCATCTCAACCTGTCCGATGCGAGCATCCAAGGCAAGATACCAGTTGGGATAAGGCACCTGACCAATTTGGTATCTCTTGACCTCTCCACAACATTTTATCTTATAGATCAGGACGACTATTACCTCTCATTCGGTACATGGTCAGATCCTTCTTGGTGGGTCGTAGAACCAAACATTGGGTCGCTAGTAGCAAATCTCAGCAGTTTGAGAGAGCTTTATCTCGGCAGGGTGGACTTGTCTGACAACGGTGAAGATTGGTGCACTGCCTTAACAAACTCCAGTACTCCTCAACTCCAGGTTCTGAGTTTACGGCATTGCAGACTCTTTGGTCCCATCTGCACATCTCTCTCTAGCATACATTCACTCACTGAGATTAATCTACAGTATAATGACCTGTATGGTCCAGTTCCAGACTCCTTCGCTGATTTGCACTTCTTACGCGTTCTTGATCTTGCTGATAATGATCTTGAAGGATTGTTTCCAAAAAGAATATTACAAAACAGGAACTTAACAACTGTTCATATCAGCTATAATACCAACATCTACGGTTCTTTGCCCAATTTCTCACCAGACAGTAGCTTGACAACTTTGATTGTTAGCAGCACAAACTTCTCTGGTCCTATTCCCAGTTCCATAGGCAATCTCAAATCGTTGAACGAGTTGGGCGTTGCATCAAATGACTTTAGACAAGAGCTTCCCTCTTCAATTGGACAACTCACATCCTTAAAATTATTAGAGGCAACAGGAGCTGGTATAGTAGGAACTATACCATCTTGGATCGCAAATTTAACCTCCTTGGTACTTCTCCGGTTCTCTAATTGTGGTCTATCTGGACCGATACCTTCTTCAATAGGTAATCTCAAGAACCTAACTAGATTAGAATTGTATAGGTGCAATTTTTATGGTACAATATCGCCACACATTTTCAATCTAACTCACTTAAAAGTAATGTATCTCCATTCGAACAACCTCACTGGTACTGTGGAGCTCAGCTCATTCTGGAAACTACCTCACCTCTTTAGTTTGAATCTTTCAGGCAACAGACTCACCGTAGTAGATGGTGACGTTAACTCTTCGCATGTTAATAATATGGACATATTGCGTCTAGCATCATGTAACATGTCCAAGTTCCCTGATGCCTTGAGGCACATGAGTTTTATTCATTATCTTGACCTTTCAGACAATAAAATCCCTGGCGCTATACCTCAATGGGCATGGGAAACCTGGAGCCAGTTGGTTCTCCTAAACATATCACACAACAAATTCAGCAGCGTAGGATGCAACGCTCTTCCCGTTGATATAGAGTCTGTTGATCTCAGTTTTAACCAATTCGAAGGGCCTATATGTTAGACTTAATCTTGTCGTTTGTGTTTTTTTTCATCCTATCAAGTTGTGTTTAGCTAATTAGTGGTTTGTGTCCACGTTAGTTTTTCCATGTGTGTACTGAGCAGTGAGCAGGTCAATAGTATGTGTGATTTAGTTTGACCAGGGAGGCCATGATCTGCATGCAAGTGAAGCATGGATTCTTGGCGAGAAGACTGGATCAGACGGCTCATGCATGTGTTGGTTAGTGATTTAGTGGTGCTCTGCATGCAGCGAGTTGTGCCTTGCATGTAAGAAGGTGATTAGAGGATAATCCACGGGAGGTGCTTGCCGGTTTGTGCGGCAAGACGTGGCTTAACCTGTGCGTGTGTGTGGTCTATTTAACCAATGTAATCAGCATTTGTTAAAGTGTGCCAAAAGTGAAGTGAAAAACAAGTGTTTGTGCTGTGTGCGCTGGTGTGCAGCGTGGAAATCCTTGCGTACTGTTCATCTTCTTCCTCCGTCAGTTCATCATCTCTCTGTGTGTGTTTTATCAAGTGAGAAAGAGAGAGGTGTGTGTGCGAGTGAGTGTTTGGGCTGACAAGTGGTATCAGAACCTCGTTCGAGAGATGCCGAAGATCGGCGATGGCAGCAAGGCTGTTGCCGGCGACGACGACAACAGCAAGCTAGTGGTGCAGCAAGTGAAGGAGGCAGGGGTGACGCTACGTTACCCCATGCTCGGGGAGAACAACTACGGCATTTGGGCGGTGAAAATGAAAATTTTCATGCACGCACAAGGGGTGTGGGCTGCTGTGGAGGGCGACGCAGCCGATGAGAAGATCGACCAAATGGCTCTCGCCGCCATTGTCCAAGCTGTGCCGGAGGCCGTGGTGATGGCCATATCCGAGAAGGAGACGGCGAAGGAGGCGTGGGATGCCCTCAAGCAGATGAACATGGGTGAAGAGCGTGTCAAGAAGGCTCGAGTACAAACCCTCAAGAGGGAGCTTGATGGTATGTACATGAGTAATTCTGAGAAAATTAATGATTTTGCTTTAAAGGTTACCACGATCGTGAACGAGATTCGCTCTCTCGGCACGAAAGTGGAGGAGACCACGGTGGTGGAGAAGCTCTTGCATTCCGTTCCCGACAAGTTCCAACCCCTCATAAGCACCATCGAGCAATGGGGGGATGTGTCGGAGATGACGGTGACGGAGACGATCGGGCGTTTGCGGGCGTTCGAGGAGTCTTCAAAGGGGCAACGACGTGACAAAGAGGGGGAGCAGCAGTTGTTGGCCGCGTGTGCCGAGCCACGGCTGACGCGTGCTGAGTGGGAGGCGAAGGTTGCTGAAGAGAGCAGTGGTGGCTCCGGTAGCAACGGTGTTGGTGAGAAGAAGTTTCGCGGCAAGTTCGACAAGTCGAAGATTGAGTGTCACAGGTGTGGCAAGTTCGGACACTTCGCCGACGAGTGTGACGAGCCGCGGAAAATGACCAAGGCAGTGGTGCAGCTTGCTATTGCCGACGCAGATGATGAACCCACTTTGCTGTGAAGACCATGTGGAGGTGCAGAATAAAGACAACAAGATTAGGGGGTGATTGTTAGACTTAATCTTGTCGTTTGTGTTTTTTTTCATCCTATCAAGTCGTGTTTAGCTAATTAGTGGTTTGTGTCCACGTTAGTTTTTCCATGTGTGTACTGAGCAGTGAGCAGGTCAATAGTATGTGTGATTTAGTTTGACCAGGGAGGCCATGATCTGCATGCAAGTGAAGCATGGATTCTTGGCGAGAAGACTGGATCAGATGGCTCATGCATGTGTTGGTTAGTGATTTAGTGGTGCTCTGCATGCAGCGAGTTGTGCCTTGCATGTAGGAAGGTGATTAGAGGATAATCCACGAGAGGTGCTTGCCGGTTTGTGCGGCAAGACGTGGCTTAACCTGTGCGTGTGTGTGGTCTATTTAACCAATGTAATCAGCATTTGTTAAAGTGTGCCAAAAGTGAAGTGAAAAACAAGTGTTTGTGCTACGTTTGGAGTTTTCTTGGAGTGTAGTATGGCTCTTCCCCTTTCCGCCAATCGGAGTTATGCTTAACCGCCGTAGTACAGCTTTTGTTGACATTTTCTTTCTTTCCTTGGCATAAGCCAGTCTGGCTGATTGCGTTGTGTATCAAAACTCTATTCCATCTAATATATTAATGTGCAATCTTTTTACGTGTTCGCGAAAAAACATGCGATTTCGCTATATTCGCATTTTATATGTTGTGAGTTGTGACCTCATTTCATTGTACTAGTAAATAACTGGTTTGGAGAGTTGGATGGCCCATGCATGACTGGCGCGGAGTCACGACGAGTCCGGCCAGTCCACCACCCGTCAGTGCTTACGCTGTTAGCCTGTTACGGCAGCTGCACGGTAAGCTCGCCTCCTAGTCCTAGCCTCCTAGGCTCCTAGCCAGTCATTCATTCCATCTGTCTGAAATCAGGGATAAAAATGGGGACAGAAAAAATGAAGAAAAAAAAGGCAATAGATTCAGGCTTGCCATAGTACTGCCATTGATGTATATATACACAGTACACAAGGTACACCTCGAAGCTAGTTCTCCGATAAACTAAACCACACCAAGACACCAAGTTGATCGTCGGCGACATGTCGTCCCCAATTGCCATTGGTCGTCGACACGGGCCACCACCACTGCTACTACACCTGCTCATCCTTCATCTCCTGTTAGGCTTCCAACACCTCTGCTACTCCCTTGCCACGTACAGCAACCGAAGTACTGCTGCCATGCCGGCCCCGTGCTTGCCCGACCAGGCAGCGGCGCTGCTCCGCCTGAAACATTCCTTCAACATGACCAACAAGTCCGAGTGCACCCTCGCATCATGGCGCGCCGGCACGGACTGCTGCCGCTGGGAGGGCGTCCGCTGCGGCGTCGGCATCGGCGTTGGCCATGTGACCTCGCTTGACCTCGGTGAGTGCGGATTGGAGAGCGCTGCTCTTGACCCTGCGCTTTTCGAGCTCACTTCGCTCAGGCACCTTAACCTCGCGTGGAACAATTTCAGCGGGTCTCATATTCCCACCATTGGGTTCGAACGGCTCACTGAGCTCACCTACCTCAATCTCTCCAACTCCAAATTTGCAGGCCAGATACCAAATACAATAGGACGTCTCACTAATTTGATATCCCTTGACCTCTCCACTGATTTTTTCCTTATTGATCTAGATGATGAGTTCTTATCAGTTGCCACCTATTCACCCGCTTGGTTACTTGTGGCACCAAACATTGTGTCAATAGTCGCAAACCTCCACAACCTGAAGGAACTTTATATGGGCACAATAGACTTGTCCAGCAACAGCATGGTACAGTGGTGCAGTGCCTTTTCAAACTCCACTACCCCTCAACTTCAGGTCCTTAGCTTACCATATTGCTACCTCGAGGTTCCCATTTGTGAATCATTGTCGGGTATACGCTCACTGAGTGAGATTAACCTACAGTACAACTTCATACACGGTCCCATTCCAGAGTCCTTTGGAGATTTACCTTCCCTAAGTGTTCTTAGTCTTACACACAACAGTCTAGAAGGGAGCTTCCCAAGTAGAATCTTCCAGAACAAAAACTTAACCTCTGTTGATGTTAGGTACAACTTCGAACTCTCCGGTTCGTTGCCAAAAAATATCTCATCAAATGACATTTTGGTAGATCTTCTTGTTAGCAGTACTAACTTCTCTGGTCCAATCCCTAACTCAGTAGGCAACATCAAATCCTTGGAAAATTTGGGTGTTGCATCAAGTGACTTCTCCCAAGAGCTTCCCTCTTCTATTGGCCAGCTGAGATCGTTGAATTCGTTAGAGATTACAGGGGCTGGTGTAGTAGGAGCAGTACCATCTTGGATTGCAAATTTGACTTCATTGACCCTTCTCGACTTCTCGAACTGTGGCTTATCTGGGAAGATACCATCTGCGATAGGTGCTATCAAGAATCTGAAGAGGTTAGCGTTATACAAATGTAACTTTTCTGGCCAAATACCTCAAGATCTATTTAACCTAACTCAATTGAGAGTCATATATCTTCAATATAATAACTTCATTGGTACGTTGGAGCTCAGCTCATTTTGGAAACTACCAGACCTATTTTCTTTGAATCTTTCCAACAACAAACTATCAGTTGTAGATGGTGAGAAAAATAATTCTTCATGGGTGTCCATAAACTATTTCTACACCTTGCGCCTAGCATATTGTAACATATCCAATTTCCCTAGTGCCTTGAGTCTCATGCCTTGGGTTGGAAATCTTGATCTTTCAGGAAATCAGATCCATGGTACTATACCTCAGTGGGCGTGGGAAACTTCGAGCGAGTTGTTTATCCTCAACTTATTACACAACAAATTCGACAATATAGGATATAATTATCTTCCATTTTACTTAGAGATTGTTGATCTCAGTTATAACTTATTCCAAGGACCCATACCTATAACTGGACCTGACACTTGGTTGCTCGATTGCTCAAACAACCGGTTCTCATCCATGCCATTTAACTTCAGTTCCCAGCTTAGTGGGATGTCCTATCTCATGGCCTCCAGAAACAACCTATCTGGAGAAATTCCACTCTCAATTTGTGATGCAAGGGACATTCTGCTCCTTGATCTTTCTTACAACAATTTAAGTGGCTTGATTCCACTTTGTTTACTGGAGGATATCAATTCCCTTAGTGTGTTCAACTTGAAAGCAAATCAACTTCATGGTGAGTTACCTCGTAATATCAAGAAAGGATGTGCATTAGAGGCATTAGATTTCAGTGAGAACATGTTTGAAGGACAACTACCCACATCTCTAGTTGCTTGCAGAGATTTGGAGGTTTTAGACATTGGAAATAATCAGATTAGCGGTGGTTTTCCATGTTGGGCTAGTATGCTTCCTAAACTTCAGGTTCTTGTCCTGAAGTCCAACAAGTTCACCGGAGAGGTGGGGTCTTCTGCCATCGAAAAAGATAACACTTGCGAATTTGCAAATCTACGGATTCTTGATTTGGCTTCAAACAACTTTTCTGGTACTCTACATCACAAGTGGTTGAAAAGGTTAAAATCCATGATGGAGACATCTTCTAGTGCGACATTGCTTATGCAATATCAGCACAACGTGCATAGTACAACATATCAGTTTTCTACTTCAATCGCATATAAAGGGTATGAAGTCACATTTACAAAAATCTTGAGGACCCTTGTAGTCATCGATGTTTCAGACAATGCACTCCATGGTAGCATTCCCAAGTCAATTGGAGAGCTCGTTCTCCTCCGTGGGCTAAACATGTCACATAATGCCCTCACAGGACCAATTCCATCTCAGCTTGGTGCTCTGCATGAACTCGAGTCATTGGACCTCTCATCAAATGATCTTTCAGGGGAGATTCCACAGGAGTTAGCACAGCTACACTTCCTCTCAGTGCTGAACCTGTCCTACAACGGTTTGGTTGGGAGAATACCAGATTCACCCCAGTTCTCGAACAATCTCTCCTATCTGGGGAACATTGGTCTATGTGGGTTTCCATTGTCCAAGGAATGCAGCAACATGACAACACCACCAAGCTCACATCCTTCAGAGGAAAAACATGTGGATGTTATACTGTTCCTCTTTGTTGGACTTGGAGTTGGCATCGGGTTTGCAGTTATAATCGTTGTGACATGGGGAATCCGCATCAAGAAAAGGTCCCAAGACAGCAGATTTCCGTTTTGGAAAAAAGTTCTCTGTATGTAAGATTACTTGTTAGCTGAAAAAACGTATATGCTTTAGTTACCACAGCTACGTTAAAACTATGAGCAATTCTACGGTTCTTAAGGAGGTATCATGAGGTACCAAAATTTTAGTACCTCATAGTACCTAGGTACCAAGAGGTACCAAATTTACAATAGAAAAAATGGTACCTCATGGTATCTCCTCAAGTACCGTAAAATTGCTCTAAAACTATAGTGAAGCTGTAGTGATGCTTTCAGGTTCTTGTATGTTGTATCCATGAATTGTGATGAGTTGGTTACGTTGTTTGTTCCATGACAACGTATAATGAATATGTATTTGGGAATATATTTTGTTTTATTAGATTGTTTAAACAAGGTTGAAATGAGCCTCGATGTTCAATCCAAGAGGTCAAAAATTTATCTCTTTAATATACGTACTTAAAAAGACATTCTAGTGATGATGACGGGTCTATCACTACTGCCATCATTCACATCCTCTCTGGCAAGGAAAATGAAGCACACATTAGCGTATGATTAATTAAATATTAGCTAAAAATATTTTAAAATAGATTAATACGATTTCTAAAGCAATTTTTTTTAGAAAGTTTTAAAAAAAAACACACCATTTAGCAATTTAGTAAACGTGTGCTCGTGAAAAAAGAGGAAGGTGGAGTTGGGAAAATAGACTAAGAACACAGCCTTAGCTTTAAAAATTGGCATATCATCTACAGCTAATATAATAGCCTACATATACAATACTTTCATATAAATATATACTACTCCACTAATGTTTGCTCCACATCTCATACACACACTATCTTAAATTTCGTGTTGTTGCGGCTGGCTATAAATATATGTAGCATGTTTTTTCTTCTCTCTCATCTCCTCTCTCTCCTTCATATGTTTTTGTAGCTAGCTTATAGCCATCTATTGTATTTGCTCTAAGGTGCACTGCATGAATAATGTTGTTTGAATCAAAAGTAGAGGTGAATATTCTTTTTTTTAACTAGTAGAACCTTTTTTTTCTATTTTGGATAATCCGTTGCAACGTATGGTATTTGGCTAGTAGAAGAAGAAAGGGAACAAAAACCTAACCACCCGTTACAATGTATATAATCAGTTTGAAGTTATATGAGAAATACACCAATACATTTAGTCATAAGGAGCGTACAAAAGAAAGATTCTGACACAAGTATTTGCTTTGTATAACACACAAAACTCACTTTCAAATACAAACACATACTGACATACGCACATAATCTTCAAAAAAAAAAAGACATACACACATAATCCAATATAAGCAGTGTTGCACGTACTTAAAAGAAATCCTTACAAAAATTTTACAAACAAGGTTATCAACCGTTTGATCTAGTCAAACGTTAGCTACAAAAAAATCTAGATCCAATCACAATATGCCATATTGTTTGTAAAAATTTTGTAAGCGAAAATCCGTTCGTTTATAGGGGTGAGTGTACGCGCGTCATGAGCGCTTGCGTTTGTATTGTGTTTTTTTAAAAATTATAATGGCGCTTGCATGGACTTTTGCTTAAGTTGGTCATTACTGGTATAGATGGTGAAACGGGCTGCCCGGCCCGACACGGCCCAGCCACGAATGGGCCCAAGCCCGAGATCAGTCGAGGCGACACGACCTGACCTACACACCAGGCCAGGCTGTGCCCGCCCATTTGCTGCACTAATGGCCCAGTAAGACTCGGGCCATGCCGAGTTGGCTCGAAGGCACGAAAGCTCATCGTGCTCTCCTTGGAAAAAGTCTATTTGGTATCCCTCATTTCTTTGGACTGTCTCTTAAATAAGTAAGTCAGTCTATTTTGCGTCCCTCCCTTAGGCCATGTCTTATATGGCTGGAGTAAGTCTAGTTTGGGTCTCTCATAGTTGGATCGGGCTGGCCCATTGTACCAAGACAGAGGCCCAGGCATGGCTCAAAGGTCGGGCTGGGCCGTCATGGGCCCGACACCAGTTGGGATGGGCCGTGCCATCGGGTTCCAGACTTTTGGTCAACTATAGTTACTGGTGCGTAATTCCGGTACTGTACTGGGCTCGTTTACCCACGGACCTTGCCAATTTAGGCCCATTCGTAAGTTCCTCTAGCCCAGCGGAAAAGGCCGTAACACGCATCGGACCGTGACACCTCATACCCTTGCAATCACATAGTTTAAGACCCGTCATCGTCAGCCTTCAGATACTCATCCTGTCAATAGCAAAGTTTAAGCAGCCTCTCTCGTGTCACCACACTAAACAGCTTCCTACACCAATCAGCAGACGTGGACACCTCGAGGCCCAAACAACGTACTACCTACATATTTTAATATGTGACGCTGTTAACTTTTTATCCAACGTTTGACCATTCATCTTATTTAAAAAATTTATGCAATTATCATTTATTTTATTGTGACTTGATTCATCATTAAATGTTCTTTAAGTATGATATAAATTCTTTCATATTTATATGAAAATTTTGAATAAAACGAGTGATTAAACGTTGATCGAAAAGTCAATTGTGTCATACATTAAAATACGGATTGAGTAATTAATTAACCGCCAGATACTGCCATTACATGAGGCACCAAAGTCTGCTTTGCCTTCTCTAATCGACGACTGTTAATCAGCCAGCTCGTGACTAGTACACGCGGTGGCGAAGACAAAAAGACTATCAAAGTACGAACGCTTAAGCTAACGAAGAACATCCTAGTGCGGACGCACGACGCTTAGTCAAAAGCTCTCCTGATTACTCTTCTCCAACATTTACGCCGTTCTAGAAAAAGAAAGATATTCCGCGACCCGACCCTGATGAAAAAGGCGACAAAACCACGGGCGCCAACGAAATTAGGAAACGTAATTTTGTTAAGAAAATGTTTTGGCTTCTCGATCCCCAACGAAATGGCACATGCGTCCATTATATTTTTCTTAACAGTAGATAGGGGTAATACTCTGTTCACAGTTCGAATTTCTTTTGAATTTTGCAATAAGAAACTAGCAGCCCCATCGTTTGGCCTAAACAGCCAAAGAATAAGCCAAAATTTGAATTTTTGAACTTGATTTTGAAGTTGATTTTGAAATGCTTTTAACGTAATTTTTGTTAATGTTGGCTTTTAAGTCGCTACGAACAAATCTACAAAAGTTTTACTTATAAATTAATTTTAATTTTCTAATAAGCCAAATAAGCCATTTTGGGTAAAATGGCAACCGATGGGAGCCTAGAAACGAGACGGTTTGGTACTTCGATCTGATTATTGCATTCTCTCGTCGTGTAGCGAAAGTCCACGGCCACAATACCTCTCATCTCGACTCATCCCATAATAATCCTACGTAGTACATACAGCATGCGCCACTTGTTTCTAGAAATTCAAAAACAAATCAGAAACATTTTTTCCACGCAAAAACAAAAAAAAAAGAAGCAAAAATCCATCGTATAAATTGCATCCGTTGCCATCCACTGGCCTCCAACTGTCCGACACGCCGAGAAGAAAAAAAAAAGAAAAAAAAGCAACGAACCAACTTTTCTCCCAAGGAAACTTCTCCACTTCTCTCCTCGCTTCCGCCGCCTCCTCCGCCGCCGCCGACATGGACACCACGATCGGCTCGGTGCCGACGGCCTCCGATGCGGCGGCGCCTGCCCCCGCGGCGAACTCCGCGCCGAGGGAGGCCACGCTGGGGCGGCACCTCGCGCGGCGGCTGGCGGAGGTCGGGGCGCGCGACGTGTTCACGGTGCCGGGGGACTTCAACCTCACGCTGCTCGACGAGCTCGAGGCGGAGGCGGGGGCGGGGCACGGCGGGGTGCGGCTCGTCGGGTGCTGCAACGAGCTCAACGCGGCGTACGCCGCCGACGGGTACGCCCGCGCGCGCGGCGGCGGGGTCGGGGCGTGCGCCGTCACGTTCACCGTCGGTGGCCTCAGCGCCATCAACGCCGTCGCCGGCGCGTTCAGCGAGAACCTCCCCGTGGTGTGCATCGTTGGGGGCCCCAACAGCAACGACTACGGGAGCAACCGCATCCTGCATCACACCATCGGGCTGCCTGATTTCACGCAGGAGCTCAGGTGCTTCCAGACTGTCACTTGCTATCAGGTAATCCCAATCTTCAGGTTTCAGAGGTAGTAGCTTTCAGGATAAAAGTTGAACATGTTGTCTGTTGTTGTATGCGTGATGGGAGGTGTAACTGTGTAAGATATGCGTATCCGATTGTTAGTTTGGGGATTTTTGTTAGAATTTAGGAGAAATAGTTGTGTTTAGTTCTGGGAATAGTTCATATTCAAATCAGGGGAAGGTCCATCGGTACTGGGAATCACTTGTTTAGTTCTAACTTTGTAAGAACTGAATTTTGTTCTGTATCCGGTCAATTCACAACAATGCATTCCTGAGCGTACAATTCATCTTTGTTGTGCAGCACATTATATTGCCAGCTATAGGTTATGCCAGAAATTTGTAAGTTTTGGTAGTAAAAAAATTTAGATATGAACAGATACACCATCTCTTGAGCTCAAGACCAAAAACAGGCCTTCTTAGAGTAGTACACTTTGGGAGTGTTTGAAGAGAAGGGGATTGAGGAGATTGGGAAGATACGCAAAACGAGGTAAGCCATTAGCTCATGATTAATTGAGTATTAACTATTTTAAATTTCAAAAATGGATTAATATGATTTTTTAAAGCAACTTTCCTATTGAAATTTTTTGCAAAAAACGCACCGTTTAGTAGTTTGAAAAGCGTGCGCGCGGAAAACGAGAGACAATCTCTCCTATCTCCACCTAACGAACACTCCCATTCAGAAGCTCTAGCAATTTTGCTGCCTTGAGAAAAAAAAAACATTGATCTTGCAATGCTTGTTACCTGCTACATCGATTATTTGTTTTGATTGGTGAGGCTCTGTTCGTTATGTGGAGATAGGAGAGATTGTGTCTCGTTTTCCGCGCACACGCTTTTCAAACTACTAAACGGTGTGTTTTTTGAAAAAAATTCTATAGGAAAGTTGCTTTAAAAAATCATATTAATCCATTTTTAAAATTTAAAATAGTTAATACTCAATTAATCATGAGCTAATGACTCACCTCGTTTTGCGTATCTTCCCAATCTTCTCAATCTCCTTCTCCTAAAACACACCCTTAGTCAACTATAGTACTCTATATTAGATCAAGTATATTAGTTGTCGTTTGGAATCTGCCACCTGTGTGTGCGTACATTTATTTCTTCATATAACTGCATTTAAGGATAAAAATAGATTTTTAGAATCCAAACTTCTGCTTTAGAATCCAAATGTAAATCTACAGGATTCCGTAGGAAAAGGGAAGACGCGAGTCATATAATTATTTTGATGCAGATTTTTCCTAGGATTTTATCTCATTTTAATAATATTTCACA